TATTGCAGCGACGTCTACTGAGATCTAAAATTTATTACGCAAGTGGTCTATTGGGGGCTGCAGTGTGTTCTGAGTTTGGATTTTGGGTTCTGTTTATTGCATTTATGATTCAATGCAATAAAATGAAATTTTTTTTAAAAATGGTAACAGATCATTTTAATACTTGTTTTATTTACGTATTGACTTTAATCGCTGTCCAACCCCTGAGCTGCTTGCTCTCAGTAACTGTGCCCCACTGAGAAGTTTTCTTGAATAGCCCTGGTCCTCAGTGTGCATACTACCTTTTGAGCAAGTGTATTTTTAAGCCTGTGAACACTTTTAGGAACCAAACTGAAACAGTGACAGCAGAAACTGAAAATCCATCTCATTTGTGCTTGAAACACGCTGTAACAATTGCTAGTTCATTTTCCTATAATGTCAAAATATTTCAAAGAAAGTGGAAATATGTCTTACACTTCACCCACACTCTATCAGTTATTTATACTCTATACAGATGCATGTGCAGACAGACGCACGGACAGAAAGTTTGAGGGGCTGGCTGCATCTGCAGATGCACTTGCCTGAGTTGAGCTCTTGAAGAGTGGAAAATGTATGGGGCTTGTGGTTAGAGTGACAGACATCAAAAAGATTAAAAACTGCCCACTTCTCTCCAAGCTTATTACAATTATTGATTCCACCGACATGTAGAGGACGACACAGAGTGATAGAAAAATGGAAGAGAAACAAAACTTAAGAGACTTGCAGTAGAAATACAACACGGATACGAAGAAACACGTCATCAGCTGATGCAATTCTAAACTGGTGTTACTGTTTACATTTACTCAGTCTAAGTCATTTCAAGATACTTCTAAAATGACTAGAAATAATAAGCATTGTTAAAAAAAATATATATTTGAAAAACATAAAGCACAATATGGTATGAGGCAACCAAATCACCAAATTTTAATATTGCTGACCGATTATTGCACTATACTATACTGTACTTAATTCATCATTCTATTGTTTTATTTGTAATTAATGTCATGTTCATTTAAGATAATTTATCACTCTGTAGTTGGTCTTGTTTTAGTAATGTAATAAATGGTTGTTTTATTAAAAAGATTACTGTCACCTTGATTAAAAAACAAAACGATGAGCACAGAGACTGTTTAGGCTGGTGATTTATCTTAGTTTCATCTTCATTTGTTGTGTCTCTCAGACTTACCTTACAACCCTCACAGGCATGGACGCCGTAATGAAACCCTGAGGCTTTGTCCCCACACACACGGCACTCGATGTTTAACGCAGTTGCTGACGTATCGTCTGGAAACTTGGAGAACACGGGACTGTCAGCGTACTGTGGAGGTGACTCTGGCTCCAGCTTGATTGAATCTGGTAATAAAAATAACATTAGAAAAAGTTGGGATGTTTAAAACAAAAAGTTTCACATTCAACATGTTAAACCTGGTTTCTTCATATTTTCATAACCGTGTAAATCTGATTAACTTAAATCTCAATCGCTGACATGCTTGGTGAGTGATCCACAGACTGGACTTACTGTGTGAGTCTGGTTCTGTTCTGTAGCTGTGCATGTTTGTGTAGTCCATGTTGGTCAGGTGTTCCTCGCTCAGCGATGGACTCATGTCATAGACCACACCAGCTGACGAGATGGAGGATACGAGTGGGGGGGACAAGGAAGAAGGGATGGAGGAGGAGGAAATGGAGGCATAGTCTGATGTTGACAAATGTTTCATGTCAAGGCAGTGGGAGCTGTCGTCCAGCTCCGGCAGGTCCACTGTGCTCAGGCTGAAACCAACAGGCCACGCCAGGAGCTGCTGAGTGTCCACCATGTCTACAATGCAGAAAGAAGAAGACAGGAAGCGTTTGTTGATGAAGTATGATACAGAAAAGAAAGTAAATGATAATATATCAACGTCATGTGGCCTTGATAAAAGAAAACAGGAGTCTTAACAGCCATTGATGAGAAGAGAGGAAAGAAAGTAGAAGCATTAAAGATGAAAAAAAAAAATGTAGACAGCCAAAACGAGTAGAAATGTGTACATTTATAGTTCAAGCTCACATGCAACATTCCACTGAGAATTAATCATTGAAAATGTCTCCTCCTAAGAGTTCAAAACATCAGGGCGGGCATGCATCCTCCCTTACAAACAACACGAGCAGTGCCCTCAGCCCTCCTGCTCACTGCTGCAGTCTGACTGTTATCAAGCGAGCAGGGAGTCAGACTGTGTCACAGGGAGTACAAGACGAACTCTGGCAATGAGGAGCGTCTCTTCTGTTCAAAACACTGTCTTCCTCTGATGCTGTTTGGGTGGCTAGTGGAGAGATTGCCCAACCAAAGGACACAGAAAGCAGGCCAAGGACGCCAAACTAGTTTTTGGATTTTTAAAAAGTAACATTCCATGAAGCGTTGTAAAACTGGGTAGAAACTTTAAACTCCAACATAGATAAATCATGAATATTTTTTCAACGCTATGTATTTTATTTTAATTCCTGAATGTTTATAGTGCTTTTTTTGTGTGTCAGGCATTTAGAATAATAGGGCAGCCATTAAAGCTCAATGCTGCAGCTTGTTAATGTGTTTGTATATTTTTATAATATTGACCAGACCAGTTCTTTATCAGCTTTGTTGTTTTAATCAGGTTTTGCGAAACAAAAAAAAAAAAAAAAAAAAAAGTTTTGCTGAAAAACCTAAAAAGCATTCTGAAACTGTATTCTGTCACAGTCACATATTTACTCGTAGTGGCACAGAAGATTTGTTTTTTTATTCAGCAAGTCCAATATTTAACACAGACTGCCAGATGTTGAAGGAGAAACATCAGCTTAGATGATCAAAGTCCAACTATCAGAGATTACTACAGTTCACATAAAACAAACCAAGCAAAGGATTAACAGCTTGGTGGTATATTTGTTTAAAGCTGTCGTGTAAGGCAAAAATGATATATTATATAAAATATGTAATATTATGTTATATAAAAAAGAAGATTGCTATTGTTGGGCTTATTGTCTTCTCAGTATTTTCACTTTGTCATGCACAAGTTGTCAAATAATGGAGTTAATTATTTTAATGAGTACAAATAAAAATTCTTAGTTTTTCTGCATTTTGAGAAAAGTTTGCGCCTTTATTAAAAGTGGTACTTGAGTGGGTTTGTTTGAGACTGTGGGTTGCATTTCCTCTGACAGGAAGATGCATTTGGAACTTACCAAAGTAAATTGAAGTTTATCATAATTTAATAACATTCAGCACTGCCATTGTTTATAACCAGCAGTGTACTAAAACAAGTGAAAATATGTGTTTTAAAAATATTTGTGCAGAAAAGTATTTTGTTTTCCTATATTTAATACTTTTACTTGTTTAAACGTTTATGACCACTTTAATGAGAATTATACTTTAAACTTAATCCGAGTAACCTTTATAACATCACAGAATCTAAAAAAAACCCCACAGTCAATCAAACTCCAGATTTAAAAAATTGTAACAAAGAATTATGCAACAGGACAGAGCTAAATAGTAACACTCAGATGGCACCATGTATAAAACTGGCTTGTATGGGTTCCAAATTACTTGGCAAAACATCCCTCTGGAACAAACATCCTCCTCTTCCATACGCATTTTGTTTCCTTTTTTACTTGTGTGGAATGTGGCAGCAAAAAATCAGCGGGGGTCCACTTAAAATTCTCATGGACTCTGGTATTGTTCCCCAACAGGACAGCGAAATACTGTGTATGTGTCCAATGCATTAAGCTGATGACTATTAATAACTGTGGAAACCTGGTTATTTTTCCATTTGCTGGACAGCTGCCAGCTGATACAAGATTAAAACAGAGCACTGGAGCAATCGAATGACTTGTGGTCTGCTTGGCATTAAGTCTCTATATGGGGAAAGACATCTAATGGGAAAGGAAGCGCTCCAGAGGCGAAAGGCATAGGAGATGAAGCAATGGGTGTCAGAGAGCGAGTCCCTGGACCACTAAAAGAAATCAAACTGCACCCTGGAGACTCCAAGAAAAAAAACGTACGTGAGGAAACTTATTTTGTACTCAATGCAACTTGAAAAAGACAGCATGCTGGCAATTAAACCAAGGTCCTTAAATCATGTTGTAACTGAAGGTGAAAACAAGTTTGGACTAAAAACTCTCCCCTGAGATTATTCTTGGAAACAATGCAATGCAAAATCTCTCCAAATTCACGTTTGTATCTGCGAGTGCGGTGTAGGAAAACAAGCTGTCAGACATTATAAAAGGTGACAAATGATTAGTAAAGGATTTGCAGCTTGCCTCACATTTGCGAAGGTGTGTGCATGTCAGCACGTGTATGACTGTTGTGCCGGTGTCTTCAGCCAGTTCTCAGATTTCCACGTGTCAGAGCTTGACTTCCAGGTATGAGGACAGTTTTCAGAAGTACTTTCTATTATCTGTTGCTTCTGTTATGACACAATAACAGAATACTAAGAGCAAACTGGTCGGTAGGTTTGACAACTGCTATAAAAAACCGCATTAAATCAGCTGTGAGTTGACTCACAAGTATATTTCAGGTTAAAGGAGATTTTTATGCCTTGACTTTTTAACTTAAATTAGGAAATCATGTTTCAACTATAATGCGAAACACACAAAAACGTGAAATAAGTGCTGACATCAAATCTGTATTACCACATAAAAATAAGTTGCAAAACTGTTATTTTTAAGAGTCTGTGCTGCTGTTTACAAAATCTGAAAGCAATCGCTGGTGAGAATGAAGTAAAAGATGTGAAATCTTTCCTTCAGGGGACAGAGTTGCAAAACTAATGTAATGTTTTTGATGCTGGGATCTCTTCACAACAGCAATCACTGTAGAAAAAGGCTGACGGAAAGAAAGGAGATCATGTTACTGTTCAGATGGCCAGACTATCCCTCTTCTTTATGGTGTTTCATGTAGCTAAATGTTTTAACATTAAATGAACGGTGTTAGTGTTTTTCTTTCAGTTGTTCCTGTCTACAGAGAGTAGCCACAGTGAACAAACTCACTTGAAAGATTTGGCAATAGTTTTACCCCAGATCCTCTTCCTGAAGCAACTTGGGCTCAAACCTGCAGGCTTTTGCTTACAAGAGCCCAACACTGACCACCGTGCAAGTGGTGTAGTCTATGAGATACGCGAGTATACGGAATATATCCACTAGAAAAGCATGGGAATTTCAGTATTCACACTTAAAAGTGCCCAATAACACGAGCCCATGTCATGTATCATTGGCAATGATACATGACATGGCTTGTGTCATTGTCAACACATTTGGAACATTTTATAGACACACTTAGTTGGTTCAACCTGAATGTTGTATAATTAATACTTCTGTACTTACTATTTAATACTTGAACATATTTTGCTTTGTTACTGTTTTATAAATCCCATGTTCTTAAAACAAAGTCAACTGTTGTACAAAGCTTGTTGTACATTTATTCAAATAAAAGCATCAGAGAAAGTTGGAAATGTTCAATATGCTTAAAAATCAAAATAAATTAACTATTATATTGTACTAACTGGTGTACTTTGGTTTCTAAGCACAGTAGACCCACTACAAAAATCTAGACTACACCACTGGCACTGCTACCACAGCCCTTTGTTAGAATAAATGAAAAAGTAAAAAAAATTAAAATAAAACCAATGATATTAGGAAACTTTAAACACGTTTTCAGAGGGTTTAAAGTCCTTCTACAATCTTATGCAGTAAAAGTCATTTAATGGACTAAAAAATATGCACAGTGAAAGAATAAAGAGTCGTTTAATAAGAAACTGAGAACGTTAACTCACAAGGCAGTCTGGTACATTTAGTTATGTGGAAGACAAAAGAAAGAACCTGTCCTGCTGCATTCAAGGCCTTAACACTCTTATCTGCATTATTTGAGTAAAAACTATGTGTGCTGTTTCAGGGTGAGGACTGAACGATTATTATCAAATTAAAAAAACACAAAAAAAACCCACAATCATTTAAACATTATTTATGTATTTTTGTAAAATGACATTTTGGTTTCTATGTGAAAGCGTCACTATTTGAAACCTACATACATATAAACAATCTGTTTTTGAAAATAATTAGTTTTTTATATATTAACACTCCTGCAGCAAACTGAAAACTGTAAATGTGAATATTTGCCCCTTTTTCAGAGCTGCACGTTTGCTGAATTTAGCTCAGCTGAACAGTTGGTATAGGTGTGAGCACGTGTTGCACTTGTGCAGGAGGGCATGGTTTTCTCTCTTAACCCAACAAGCCATTTATTTTGTCGAAGGTGTTTTCTTGAAAGTGATTGTGTGTGCCAGGGAGAGAGAGCGAGAGAGTCAGCGTAGAGGCTGAGTTCGGTGACTTCCTGACCTCTTCATGTAAAACAGCATGTGGTTCAGCGTCAGTGACTAAAACAAAGATATGCCCGCCTGCGTGTCTGCCTCACAGTCCCCACATTTTCTTTGAAAAGATTAGAGTGCTTGATTTTTGCCTGATTAGTCTTCCGTAGGAAAACTGTGGTACTCTGGAAACATTGTGAAACGTAAATTTATTGTGGTTTGTTTGACAAAGCCGAGGTCTTGAAATAAAATATTTAGCATTTTACACAAAAGCTACAAAGTGTATAAGTTTTAAACCAGTGTCAAAAACACAGGTTCACTCTTCAGGAAACTGTCACTTCTTTTGGTGGTGTGAAGCCACTTTAGCTGGTTTACCTGAAACAGCCTTCCCCTTCTGCACCTGAATGATCAAACAAGAGAATACTGGAAAACCAAGTGCGAACAAGGTGTCAAGGTGCCTGGACTACCCTATTGACAAAAATGAAACTGCTCTGACCTGAAAAACCCACCTACATGCT